ATTTTTATTACTGATTTGATCTTATTATTTGTTATTGGTCTGTTCAAGTTTTTTTATTTTTCCTGATTCAATCTTGGTAAGTTGTATGTATCCACCAATTAATCCATTTCCTCTTTTCTAATTTGTTGGTGCACAGTTGTCCATAGTAGTCTCCTATTGTATTTCTGTGGTGTCAGTTGCAGTGTCTCCTTTGTAACTTCTGATTTTATTTATTTGAATCTTGTGTTTTTTTTTCTTAGTTATTCTAGCTAACATTTTATTGATTTTGATTGTTTTTTCAAAAAAGTCTTTCTGTGTTATTAATTCTTTGAATTGTTTTTCTAGTCTCTATTTCGTTTAGTTCTGCTCTGATTTTTAATATTTTTTTCCTTCTACTAATTTTCAGTTTGGCTTATTCTTACTTTTCTAGTTCCTTGAGGTACTGGACTGTAGATTGTTTATTTGAATTTTTAAAAATTTTATTGATGAAAGCTTACTTCTTAGCAGTGCTTTTGCTGTACCACATAGGTTTTGACGTGTTGTGTTTCCATTTTCATTTGCTTAAAGAAAAGCTTTGATTTCCTCGTTAATTTCTTCACTAACTCAATGATTGTTCAGGAGCATTTTGGAAGTATTTATGCTAACTAAAACAGAGAGACAAATGCGGCATCTTTTTGCTTATATGTGGGAGCTAAGTCAATATTGTGGTGGTAGAGAGTATAATGGATGGAAAGGGTAGGAGGAATTGAAGAGGGGACACGTATGTGGGGTGTTAATGGGTTAACACCTGGTTTGATAGAAGGAATAAGTTCTAGTGTTTGATAGCACAGTAGGGTGACTCTAGTTAACAATAATTTACTGTATATTTCAAAATAGCAAGAAGATTTCCTAACACAAAGAAATGAGAAATGTTTGAAGTGATAAATATACTACATATCTTGCATTAGCCATTGTATGTGTATCAAAATACCACATGTACCTCCTACATATGTACAATTATTATGTACAACCTTTAAAAAAACCTAGAAAGTTATAGATATTAAAGATTAGAGAGGGTTTCTGTTGCCATTTTAGGTTAAAGTCTAGAATACAAAAGTCCTGGTTTGACCAGTGTGATGGCTTATGCCTGTAATCTTAGCTCTTTGAGAGAATGAGGTGAGATGATTGCTTGAGACCAAGAGTTCAAGATCAACCTTGGTATCATAGTGAGACTCAAAAACAAAAATGAAGAAAAAATTAGCCAGGTATAGTGTGTTCCATCTGCTCAGGAGGCTGAATCAGGATTGCTTGAGCCCAGAAGTTGGAGGTTGCAGTGGGCTATGACCACACCACTGCACTCCAGTCTGGACAATAGAATGAGATGAGACCTTGTCTCAAAAAAGAAACCCTGGCTTGATCATTGTGTGGGAAAATTTATTGATCCCTGTGTCCTTGAGTGTGGCATGGAGATCATAGGGAAGATTAGCTTTAGTCATAGAGGGCACCATACACTCAGCAGGGTTTTGAGGGAACAGAATGATTGCAGATGTCTAGAGAAAGATCTCTAGAAAGAGTTCCAGACACCAAGTGGCTTTGTTACAGTGAGGAAAGACCTATATGGAATAATTACCAGGGCCATGTAGCATATTGAGAATGTTTTGGCAAATATTGGTCAGGATAGTTGAAATCACTGAAGATGTCTCCCTCCTTCTAGACACCATTAATTTGCCCTGCAACTTTTGCCAAATCCAGAAAAAATATCTGTGGCCTAATGGGACATAAGACCTGGAAAATGTTCTTCTTAGCAAAGTATCACAGGAATGGAAGAAAAAGTATCCAATGTACACAGCCCTTTTATGAAACTAATTTATAGCCCTCAAATGAAAGATACAACTTAATTCTAGCCCAAGAATATGGGGAGGGAGCGGGGAAGGGGAGGGGAGAAGGGCGGCTGGGTGGTGAGAGGGTGACTGGAAAGATCACCTATGTATCTGTCTAACAAGGGTACAAGTGAACTTTTCTAGAATGAGAATATAAATGTTTTGACACAATGACTAAGCAAATGACATGAAATCTATGTTAACCAGCTTGATTAAAATATTTCAAATTGTATATGAAAACACTACACTGTACTCCATGTTTGCATTAATGTATACAGCTATCATTTAATAAAAAAAAAAAAGAAAAAAAAAAGACCTATAATAAATATTATATTGAATTACAGGAAAAATGTTAATGTCACATTTATTGTAAAACTGAAGTTGTGGTCTGTCAGTCATGATATTGTTTATGTAATTCAGCACATAGGAAAAACTTAGAAATGCAGAATTAAGTTTTCTGTTCAGTTTGTTTGCATAGTAACTCAGGAAAAGAATGAAACCCAATCAGAATTTGCTTCAAATTCTCAGTCAAAAGAACTGGAGATGCTGGAACAAGATATTTCCAAGTCAGGGAAGAAAGATTTGAAAGGTACTGAGACAGATTATAAAGTTGTGCTGGAAACAAGATACTTGTTTAGTTCTAGCTTTATTGTGTACCTTCTGGCATCACAGTGCCCTGGGAAGAACCCATTTCTCATTTGAATCTCTATCATGTTACTAATGGGTCATTTGATCTTAGGCTGTATTATTATTTATTATTTAGGATTAAATGATATATACATACTGTTATCTCATTTAACAATGCTTGTCCTAAGGAGACCCTGAATTGGGGATTCTTTGCCTATAATTTATTGAGGGAAGCAGGTTAATCTTGGGATGGTAGATAAAGGCTAAGCATGGATGTGGCTCAGCAGGAGTCTTGATTCAGCCTGATCAGAGGAGCTCTGGAGTATGAATTATATCACAGAGTTGATCCCTCCCACCTTGGGGTAAGAGGGCCATACTGCTGACCAACTGTGTGTAAGAATAGTCATTGGCTATGGTCTTAATGAGGGTAGAGGTATACTCTACTGCATAATGGTGACTCTCGCTGGCATAGGTCAGTTCCCTGGGGAACAGGGCCAAGAGTAGCCAGCACTCACAGTAGCTGGAGATTGGTTACAAAGAACTAGTAAAGAGGATTAGGCTGGGCAACAACAGTTTTCACTGTTAACACTGGAATTTCCTAGCACATGGGCAGTTTTCAAGAAATGATTAACTTTATAATTATCATGTACTAAATTTTAATTTATTTAGTAGAGTTAATATAACTTGTCCTACCAGTTTTGAAAAGTTGAAAAAATTCAGGTTAAAGCCCTTGTTAACAGAAAACATCTTAATAAATAGAAGGAATACATATAAGAAAACATAATTCAAAGCCAAGAGTCAGGATTTTTTAAGAATAATGACTATAGAACTTTGAACACACTGGGCTTTGCCCCTGCCCAGGAACTGTGTAAGAGGAGTTAAAATTACCATTAATTTGAAAGCCAAAAGAAAATGCTTCTCATAGCTTATTTTTGACTAATTTTTCCTGTCCTAACTTTAATTGTCAATATGATCCCATCCTTTGAGATGCCAACACTGGGGGTTTACTTTAGCTCAGGAGTTTAAGACCAGTCTGAGCAAGAGCAAAACTCTCTCTGTACTAAAAATAGAAAAACTGGCCAGTTTTGTGGCAGGCATCTATAGTTCTAGCTATTCAGGAGGCTAAGGCAAGAAGATTGATTGAACCCAGGAGTTTGAGGTTGCTGTGAGCTATGATGCCAGGGCACTCTATCCAGGGTGACAGAGTTAGACTCTGTCCTCTAAACAAACAAACAAACAAACATATGTATGTGTGTGTGTATAAATATATATATATATATGCTTATATATACATATATATTTGTATATATTTATATACATGATCTCATTTGTATGTATTGATATACATACATATATGATCTCATCCACTTTCCATCATATATATATATCTTCTTTTCTCCAGATAATTGTTATTCTTTGTACTCTTGTGAACTTTTGTTTATTTCCATTTAAATTTCTACTATTTTAGTCAGAAAGAAATTTGGAACTGATGGAAGATGAGCATATAGTTGTAGGAGTCAGAAGTCCATGTCTAGGCTACAAAATTTACAAAATAACATTATTACAAAATCTTCTTTGTGAAAGACTATCTCTCCAATTAGGGACAAGTGAATAAAGAACTTAAGGGGATGACTGGGCTCACACTTCTAGAATCAAAGAAAAGAAGTATTTTGAGTTTGTCAAAGTGTTGCTTTGGCTACAGAGAAAGCAGTGAATATCTTCATTCTCATGTTTTTGGAGTTTTCTCTCTTGGTCTGATGTTATTTTCTTTAGCACCAGACGTTTCTATAGTTGTATTTCCTCTGGGCCTAGGGCCTTCCCCTCAAGAGTTGCATCTTGCCTTTAGTCACACAGAGGCACTTTTCTCATTTTACATGCTGTCTTTTACTGCTATGGGTGCATAAGCATCATCCAGGGCAAATATCTCTATTACCCTCTATCACCAGTATGGCAGCGCTGGACCATCCCAAATCATTCTGAGACAATTTGTCTGATTCCAAAGACTCTTACAGATTCACATCTGAATTCTGGCGTACTATTTAAAAATTGGTTTTCTCAGTGAAGTGACTTGTTATTCTACTTCATATGACTTCCTATTGCTAATGAACTTTAGGACTAATACACCATAATAGATTTGAGACGAAAGGAACATGTGTGAGAGTTGTGACATGTCTCACAAAATAGAAGGAATACACATGAATGAGCTCTCTGTGCTAAACTCTAGTTCTAAACCTGGCCTCCAGGAGGCGATGCTATACAGCCAGCAAGTTCTCTTTTCTGGTTAATTTCATCATCAATTGCTCCTTTCCTTCTCTCTTCAAGCGGCTGAATTCTTTGTAGAGACATGTGACAAGAATCAGAGATCAAAAAGCATCTGAGCCCATTGCAGCAGCTTTTGTACTTTTATCTAAGCAAGGAGCTAGTCTAGTTGAACCTTCCCCACACCTATTTCCAAGATCTTTGCATCTGCAGCCCCTTCTGCCTGTTCTTGGGACATCTTTTAGAAAAAAGCCTGCAGCATCTCCCTGCTCAGCCATGCTTCTGGTGCTCATCACAGTGTTGGGGATTCATTTTGCCCTGAGTGAGTAAAAAAAATTCTTTATGGTTTCTGTTTTTGTCAGTTTTGCCTAGAAATGCTTACTCTTTTTCACACTGGTGTCTGAACTGTCTTCACTGGTGACACAAATTTAATTTTCTAGGAGATGCCAGAGCTCAGACTGTGACTCAGACTGATGCTACCATCACTGTCTCTGAAGGACACTCGCTGGAGTTGGGATGCAAGTATTCCTATAGTACAACACCTACTCTCTTCTGGTATGTCCAGTACCCTGGACAAGGCCTCCAGTTTCTCCTCCGGTACTATTCTGGGAACACCCGAGTTCAAGGCATTAAAGGCTTTGAGGCTGAATTCAGGAAGAGTGAATCTTCCTTCAACCTGAGCAAACACTCTGTGCACTGGAGTGACACAGCTATGTACTTCTGTGCTACTAGTACCACAGTGTGTGGGACTGCAGGGGGAGCTGAACACAAATCACTAGGTGGGTGCAGTTTTCAGAGAGTCAAGATGTGACTTCAGAATGTGAGCTTTAGATTAGATTTACCAATCTTTCCTTCTTTTAAAAAATACTTATTAATATCAGTTCATCTTAACTATCCCAAGAATTAATAAGGGAAAACTGGGAGAAGGTAAGATAGGTGGCTAGAGACAGCTTTCAATACAGGCTCCAGTCCAGAGGGAGATATAATGATCAGAATGAACTCACTGAGGCTGAAAGTCAGGAGCTAAGCTGAGAGAGAAGATTGATGAGTGCATGTCATCCCTGCTGAGGCAAGCTGCGACTCCAAGGAAACAAACTTCAAGTACAAAACCCATTGCCATGAGCATGAGAGTCCCTTTCCCCAAAAGAGTGGCTCTGCTGTGTGCTGTCTACAAGCAAGAAGTAAACAGAAGTTCTATTGTTTTACCCCATTGGAGAGAGTCACTGAACACCAGGACTCCTTCTCCAGAGAGGTCCTGCCTGTGAGCCCAGGCATTTTCTTGCCTGGCATAAAAGCTGAACAAATATTTTCCCCACAATTCTGAACTCCCAGTCCACCCTTCCCCCCTTACCTGGTGGTCTGCAGGCCTGCCCCCTGCAGAGCCCAGAGTGGTCTGGTAGTTTCTTGTGAGGGCTGGGCATCATGTGGGCCATAGCTAGCTGTGCTGAAGCTATGACTTGAGTGGAAGTTGGGAGATGTGGGTGAAGGAGGACTGGTGCGACACCAGGAAAGTGCATGATGACAGTGGGGCAGTGGTGGCAGCAGCAGCAGGGCAGCAGCGGTGGCATGGTGGTGGTGGTGGTGCCTCGAGCAGTATAGTGGTAAGGCATGGCGACTAGAGCAAAGATCTGTGTGGTGACTTGCATGGCAGCAGAGGCAGCACTCTTGCTGGGGTCAGATTTTGGAGAGACACTTTCCTGATTCTGTGGTCTGGTAGAAGGAGTCAGACCTTGGCCCACAGAGGTATGGGAGGCAAAGTGCAGCTGGAGCAGGGGCATGGACTCTATGGGAGAGAAATATGCTCTACGATGGCAACCACCAGCTTGGGACAGACTCTGGTGGAATACTTCCCAGTTTCCTTTGAGCACCAGAGGGAGTAGGGCTTGAACCCTTCCAAGTTTCCTGCTGGTGGCTGAGAGTGGTGGCCAAGGAGGCACACTCCTCTTTGACTCTGGCAGGTGCGTATCCCTGGTACATTTGCTCATTGGAGGGAACTGGCCATTGCCCGACAGGGTTATCGGTGGTGTGGTGTGGTTGTGGTGTAAGGCAGGGATGGAGGTGCTGGTCCCTCTGGACTGACTCTTTGGCTGGATTGGCCTTCCTGACTCCACTGAGCACTGGAGAGAGTCATGCTCCAGCCTCTTGGGTTTTCTGGACAGAGCTGCTAGTGGAGCCCTTCTGTCTGGTTGCTGGAGTCCTTTAGACCTCTTCTAGTTGAGCAGTGATTGTGATGCCTGGGACAACTGGTTTGGAACTCTTGACCTGGGCTGGACACCTGAGGACCATCCAACTTTTATCCCTGGTTGTATTGTAGTGGGAGGGACTGATTCTTTTCTTCCAGTTGTTGCTGGAGTGGGCTGGGGTGTCTTAGTTGCTTGTATCTCTCTCCAGCTGAGATTTCAGCCCAAATATGCAGACTCACTAGGATTAGATAGAGGCTGGCTGAATACAAGACAGAGCCACCTAGCGCCATTACACCAATTGGGTCCTCAGAATCTCTGGCTTCAGGATGAAAGGGTTTTTTGTAAAGCTGTAGGGGAAGAACTATAGCCATCAGTCCCAGCTCTTTGGAGAAGGGTTGGTTAACTATGAATCTTGGATCCCTCAATACAATCTCACTTTATCAGCTTTATCAGCCAAACTGTGAAAAATAATCCAGGGACAGAACCAGTGGAAAAACTCTGGCAACATGAATAATCAGAGTAGATCAACTCCTCCAAGGAATGACAAAGGTGATATGCCAGAAGATGCCATTCATAAACGAATGGCTGAAATGTCAGAAATAGAATTCAAATAGGGATGGCTTATTAAATGAATAGAATGTAAGAAAAGATAGAAATAGAAATCCAAAGAGTTGTGCAAAAGTTTTCTCAAGAAGTCAACAAATTCAAAGACAAAATCTCCAAGGACATGAACACATTGAGAAAAGAGCATAGCTCAAGGAAATGAAAAAGCTATTTGAGGAGCTCTGATATAACAGTAGAATCTGTCAGTATAGAGTGGAGCAGGCAGAAGAAAGGATCTCTGAAATTGAAGACAAAGCTTTTTTTTTTTTAGACAGAGTCTCACTATGTCGCCCTGGGTAGAGTGCTGTGGGGTCACAGCTCACAGCAACCTCAAACTCTTGGGTTTAAG